TCCCCGCTGCCACACCCCTGCCACCGCCACCTGGGGACAGTTGCCATGCCCCCCCAGCCTCCAGGAGCACACAGCATTCATAATTTGAAATGCAGCTGGCAAGGGACATAAAAGACAATAAAGTGGGATTCTACAATGGTGTCAACTACAGGAGGAAGACCGAAGAAACCACCGATCTCTTATGGAATGCAGAAGACAACCTTGTTATGGATGAGGTTGGAGGGGTTGGATGTATTTAAGTCAACAGGCCCTGATGATCTTCATCCTAGGGTACTTAGGGAATTAGCTGTAGGCATAGCGGAACCACTGGTGCGACTGTTTCAGCACTCATGGCACTCAGGACAGGTCCCAGAGGACTGGAAAAGGGCCAATGTGGTCCCTATCTTCAAGAAGGGGAGGAAGGAGGAACCAGGTAACTATAGGCCAGTTAGCCTTACCTCTACCCTTGGCAGGACCTTTAAGAAAATTAAGGATCACATTTGTGGGGGACCAGTGGGTTAAATAATGCTAAGGGGCAACCAGCATGGGTTCATGTCAGGCAGATCCTGCCTGCTTAACCTGTTGTTTTTTTTTCGTGACCAGGTCACAAATTGCGTGGATGAAGGATCAGAGGTAGATGTTATTTACTTAGATTTTAAAAAGGCCTTTGACACAGTGTTGCACCCAATTCTTATAAATAAACTAAACAGTTGCAATGTAGATTATTACACAGTCCAGTGGGTGGAAAATTGGCTTATGAGACGCACCCAGAGAGTGGTGGTGGATGGGTTGGTTTCTAGCTGGAGAAATGCAGGCAGTGGAGGCCCCCAAGGCTCTGTCCTGGGACCAGTACTATTCAATATCTTCATTAGTGACTTGGATGAAGTAGTAGAAAGCACCCTGTCCAAGTTTGCAGACTACACCAAACTATGGGGAAAGTACACAAACTAGAGGACAGAAAGCAAAGCCAGGTGGATTTGGACAGGCTGGGGAAGTGGAGAAAACAGAATAGGATGCAGTTTAACAAAGATAAGTGCCATGTGTTGCATGTAAGGAGGAAAAATCATCAACACTCATACAGCGTGGGAGATACCACTCTAAGTAGCACAACTGTGGAAAGGGATCTCTGAGTCGTAGTGAGTCACCAATATGATGAAGTAATAAGTAAAGCTAACCTCACTCCTTCTTGCATAAGTAGGTGCATCACAAACAGTTCTGGTAAGCAGGCGATATCTCCCCTCTATGCAGCATTGGTCAGGCTGCAGCTGGAGTACAGCATCCAGTTTTGGGCACTGCACTTCAAGAGATGTGGATAACCTGGAAGGGGTTCAGAAGAGGGCCACCGATCCGGTTAAAGCCCTACAGGAAAAACCCTACAAGGACCAATTGAGGGACCCGAATCTTTTCAGCCTCCACAAAAGAAGGCTGAGAGGTGATCTTGTGGCCATCTACAAACTCATCCCGGGGGGGGGGGGACAGCAGGAAATAGGGGATA